TATTGAATTAGTTGAGCAGATCAGAATAATGAACTCAAAATATTATTATATTATTTTTATATTTTTTCTTAGCTTTGAAAGGAAAATAAAGATTATTAGTTAGTCCTACCCAATCGATCATCTATCTAGCTACTTATTAGCTAGTAAGCTTGTGTGTCATTAAATTGTTTCTATTAGACAATATTACCACTAATTTTCTTTGCAAGTATTTTTTTTTATGAAAATGAGCATCGCATCACACCCATAGACATACTCTATAATTCTATATCAATCACTCTCTACAACCACACCACTCTAATTACCACCATAGCTACTAGACTTGGTAATTGGGAGGTACCGAGGTATGGGTTAGGGCTGGCGTGAGTCAATAATGAACCGGGCCAAAAAAGGAGGGTTGAAGTAGGAAAATTGGTCGTACCAAAATTTTATTTTCACTTCATTCACAGTATAATTAGAGATCAAAAAGCTGATTGGCTAACACAGAATAGCTAGGTTTGGATCATTCTTGGTTTCACCATGGATCGAAAGCCTGTGATTCAAGATTTCCAAGTTCCACAATGGTTAAGTCTCAATGAAGAGTTACCTTGAGAAATTCTTGTTACTAAAGTACTTCACAACCTTTCCTTTTGCGATTTTTTATCACATACTCGCATGCATGTCTTTTCAATTATAATCACCACGTACATTCCCATCTCTATACTATATTTTATATCTGTTTACGGCTTACATATTACCACCTCTCTTATTTTAAGGTATCCTGTAATATGTATTATGGAACGAAAAAAAATCAATAGTAGGAAACATGATTAAACTAAACTTAAGAATACTCCATAAAATAAAAAATTATGAATTATAAAAAAGGATTACCAAAAAGCGTGGACGGCAGGATTCGAACCTGCGCGGGCAAAGCCCGATTACCACTCCGGCACATCCACTTCAATGTTAAAATTGTTTACGACTTGCTACAAGAACGAATCTATGAACTCCTATATAATCGTTTTGGACTTTTCAATTACTTATTTTTTTTTTTTAAAAAAAAAAAAACAAAGTGGAGAGCAAGGACAAAAGGAGGTAAGCACTATTTGTGATGTACGGGGCGTTTGGTATAAATATAGGAAATGGAGCGGAAAGGAAGCATATAAGAGGGAGGAAATGAATTATTGAACACTTACTTTTTCATTTGTTTGGTTTAACTATAGAATAGAATCACTTAACCATAACTCTTTTCTTTTTGTTCGAGGAGGATAAAGGTAATTGTTATCCTAGGTTTTAGAGAGGTAGCAAATAGTAAAAAGTGGAAACCATCATCCTTAGATAACGGTAATCCGATCGTTACCTAAATCTTCTAATCAAACACTTAGTAATGATACCACTCTAATTGAATTCATTTCCACCCCAAAAAACACTCTAACCAAACATACTATTAGTCATTAAATTATGAGCTTGCTAGATTCATCCCTATTTATATGATCAAAATATCAGTTTTAATTTTTATTTGCGCAAAATTAGAGAATAGTGTTTTGAGGGAATGGATAAATTGATAGTAGTTGGTAAAAGACTACAAGTATGAGTATTAATTTAGAATTGCATGACAAAGTCACGCATAAATCATTGTATACTGGTATTTCATTTGTATTCTCCACTTTTAACTCCTATATTCCTATGCAACGGATGTAACTCAACCTAAGAGTTACATAATTACACATTTACACAGAAAACTACTCCGTAATTTATAAAATTAAGTGTTAATCCGTCGAAAATAGCAAGATATCATTAATTACACAGAAAACCAAATAATAACAGCTGCAACACTGATACACTGAAAACATAACTGCTATAGTAAACATACAGCAACATATTATTTTCACATCAAGAACACAACAGAAATAAACAAGCTAAGCAAGTGTGCATATCCGGGTATTAATTAGCTACTGATGCTCAGACTATGGTCTAGTGGCAACTGCTTGAGTTGAGGTAGTCGGGAATGTAGGGAGTGGCAACTCTGGAGAAGGCGGTACTTCAGGTAAATCCCCAGGAACTTCTTGCATATTAGGCTGAGGCAACAAGGGATTGTAAGGAGCAGCAGGGACAGGGTTCTCGTCTACAGGGTCATCAGGATCGTCTACAGGATCATCAGGTGTCTCGGGGTCAGGAACCTCAGGGATATCATCAGACAGGCTTGCTTCCATGAGATGACGAGCCACCACATGGATACGATGGTCACTCATCAATGATAATGCGATTAGTAAGACAGCTAATGCTAATGGTGAACGACGGTTTTTGTAGTAAGTGTAACCCATGGTTTCAGAAAAACAGGAAAGTTACTGGCTTTGTATTGTCAGAGACTCAGAGGTGGGATTATATAGATGAATGATGAGAAGACGAAAAGCTGTTGGTTGAGAAGATTGTATTGTGTAGCTCAACTCCTTGTTTCACACTACCAAATTTTAATTTAAGCCATCATAAAGAGGTAGATTTGACTTGTTTCTCTGCTATCAACTTCTTTAACTTTCTGTTCTTCCTGATTTTGCTTTAAGCACGGTTTTTTCCTTCTGTTTGTTAGAAATCGAGAATATCATACAAAATTCCTATCCGAATGATTTGTCCAAACGTGCATCTAATAGCTTTCACTTGAATTCTCAGCTGTTACTGATATTTGAAGAGAAATAAAGGGTAAGTTGGTGATGATCCAAAGAATAACCTGCCTCGAAAGAAGATAGTTATCTGCATAATTCAGAAATTTATGTTGCCAATTGAAAATCTATTTTGAATTGTGAATACAGATGAGTAGATATTAGGCTAATTAATTCTATGAAAAATCTTTAAAGCAAGTTCTACAATTCGAGTCTAGAATTTGCACAAAATTTAAGCATGATAGAGCGGAAAGTTGGAAACTAACAGTACTTCTATCATCATAGAGACTTAATTTATACAGAACAGCTGAAACCTTAATATCATAGGTGCAAATTTGCATGAATTTCAACCCCCCTTCTCTGAGTGTCTTCAGAAGGCCGTCTACATGTTGGGGTAATGTTAATATTGATAAACTTACATACGTTGTATACGGTTATAATTCCATTCAGTTCCTCGATCCAACTGATAGCAGGTACACATGATTTGTTCAAAAGAATTTCAACTCCCTCCCGGAATAAATTGTCACATTGAGTAGTTGTTACACACCTTGATAAAGGATTCGTCATGATTTCACTCGTTTACCTTTCAAAATAGTAGTCTCTTTCACATCCTCTCTCAACCACTCCAATTTCTAATCTCGGCACCTCAATAGTATTAATATATCACAACCCAAATTGTAGGGTGCACTAGAAATTTTTACGGATTCTTTCCCTACATTGTAAAAGGCACAGGTTCACATCCGAAATAGTTATGTATATAACCTACAGAAATTGTTAAGGATTCTTTCCCGACATTGTAAAAAGCATAGGTGCATATTAAGTCCAAAAGGTTGATCCACCACATTCATGGTAGCACACTAGCACATTACCCGGGAGGAGAAAATGCAGAACCGAAAGATGCTGAATTTGCACAAACAGCGTAACAACAAGATGAATTCAGGAATACTGTTGACTATCTCACAGGGCAGGGATTAAGTTCATAATAATTCTTAACTAGGTGAAACAGAAGATTGAGAAGTGTGCTGTGGCTCTGTGAGCCTGTGATTAACAGATCAAGAGCTAGCTACTTTAAAATTCGAGATGTTGAAAGGACTTGAAACAGTTTCTATATATGATAACTTTACGATATCAACTGATATAATGACATAATGTCTTGTATTACATAGGTTAATGCATGATGGTAGTTGAACCAACTAATAACATACAGATTAAGCCAATTAATAACATACAGATTACATAAATAATGAATTATATGGCAAAAAGCCGAACATGATTGTTACAATCCGCTTATATATTGGTACATGAATACATAGTCCTAAACCAAAAGAAAATACTTCGTATAGCATTGTCTGATTTTCTGATTGACCAACAGACTGCTTCAAGGGTTTGTGGCTGACTGAGCTTCGGTGACTGTAGGAGTAGGAATTTCTTGAGGATTACCCTGGAAGGCAGGGAAAGAGGGGTTGGAAAGCTGTGGCAGATTGAGGTTCCTGAAAAATTCAGGCAAATTGGGAATTGCTGGCAGCTGAAGAGATTGCAAAGAAGAGAGATCAGGTAATGGAGGCAATTCCACGTTGCTTAAATCAGGGAACGAGGGCAGCTCAGGCTGTGGAAGCTCTGATATTTCAGCTAGATATCGAGCATCTGCATGAATCTTGATATCATTCATACGGGATAACAAGGCTATGAGCAAAATTGGTAAGAGAAGGAGAAACTGATAAGTGTAAGCCATGACTCAAAAGTGAAAAAAAACGATTACGAGTTGCAGAAGCTGCTGATTTTGTCACCTAAGTATGATGAAATTACTTTGGCTAATGTAGCGCTCTTATAGATATTGAGCGAGGAGGTTGCTTCGTGTAAGAAATTAAGTTTAGTTCAACAGATTCTGGAAATCTTCCTTTCTTATCCAGCCTTTTGCACCCACTTTCTATCTACAGGGTAGGTATTATTGTAAAATAGAGTACACCTCTTTCTTGAATAATTAAAGCAACTAATGCCAATTTCTGAACTTTTTATTTTGTCAAAACAACTAATTTTTTTTACCCTTGCATAACATCCCAATGGTACAGATACGTAATACAAAGGCGAGATTACCTTCATTGAACTCATTATCAAAATTAAACTCAAAACAATCGGAAAACTTGATATATTAAACCAAATACAATTAGCTTAAGAGAATCTCATATTTGAGTGAAAAAATTAACCAAAACTATGACAGGCGACTAATCTTTTAAAAAATAAAAACAAATGATCTTATCAAGTTATTGTTCATGCAGGTTATATGGGTGAGTAGTTCATGAGCACAAACAAAAAAGTTCATGAACATAAATGAATAGACAATCCTATGCTCAGGTTAAGACACCGCACAAAGAAAGTTCAAAATTTATTGAGCTCAAACTGTTAACTACAAGAAATTTAAACAAAGTAGAAGCAAAATACGAGAGATCAAAGAGCACGTAAAAGCCATCTGACCATCTGACTATAAAGAGTAGAAATTATGATAACATCCAGTGCTTAGATCATTTGAAGAAAAGTATCTATTTTACAATTAAGTCAGATAACAATATCAAGAAGGGAGCAGAGATTACACAATACAGTATAAAACTTGAAAAGCATCCGAAATTTGGTTTCGTGCATGTTCACTTGATAACTGTTGCTGCATTGTAGCTACTGATGCACCAAACTTTAGACCTTTAGTGAAGACAGAGTGACCTGTACGAATTACAAGGTTGGACAGGAGCTACACCAGCTTGTAAAGAAGAAGTTCATCAGGCAGACAAGGCTGAGACAGAGTAGAGTATCTCACATAATATCAGGATACTTGCCAAGATCATGCAGATCACGATGATCATCAGACACCTCGGGATCAGAAGGGTTCATGTATAGCAGTTGGCTTGATACTGCAAGGATCCAGTCTTCACTCGTCACTGAAAACAAAACAAGGTGGTTAAGGATGGAAGGCATGGGATCCTTTGGTGTCAAACTTATATCATGGACCTTTACCATTAAGCCAAGACCTCACTAATGAATAGGGGTGTCAATTCGGTTAAACAGTTCGGGTTTGGGTTGGGTTTATCAGTTTCGGGTTATAACAGGTTGGTTTATAACGGATTGAAATAATAAGCGGGTCGGTTTGGGTCGGTTTTGAAAATTATCGGGTCAGTTCGGTTTGGTTTTTAATTGCAGTTTCTATTCGGATCGGGTCCTTATCGGGTCGGGTTCTAGTCGCTTCGGGTCATAATCAATTTGGGTTGAACTGGGTCGGTTTGAAAACGGGTTTAGCCCATTTAATGTGGGTTTCGATTAAAAACAGTTCGGGTCTTAATCAGGACGGGTCGTAATTGGTTCGGGTCATAATCAGTTTGGGTTTAACTGGGTCGGTTCGAAAATGGGTTTCGATTCAAAATAGATCGGGTGAAATCGGGTCCAACCATTATTGTTTCGGTTATAATCGGTTTAGATTGAACTTGGTTGGTTTGAAAACGAGTTTACCCAATTTGAAACGGGTTTCTAATCAAAATCATATCGGGTTAAAATTGAGTCGGATGATTATCGAGTCGAATTAGTCAGATAATGGGTAGGAACGAGTCATGTTATAATCAAGTCAAGTCATAAATAAGTTGGGTTTATCGAGTAGTGGGTTGAAACAGATTAGATCATAAACATATTGGGTAACAGGTTGTAAATGACTCAGTCATAACGGGTTACGGGTTTTAAACGGTTTGGTCATAACGGGCTACGGGTCGTAAACGGTTCGGTCACAACGGGTTACGGATTATAACCGGTTCGGTCACAACGGGTTACGGGTTGGAACGATTTAGGTTTATCGGATTTTTATCGGGTTTTAACGGTTTTCGGTTTAAAACGGGTCGGGTTACTAACGGATTTAAACGTAATCGGTTTGGGTTGCTTTCAGTTTCGGGTTGCAACGGTTTGGCTTGATAACGGGTCGGGTTAGTAACGGTTTGCACAAATTCGGTTTAGTTCAGTTTTGGTTTGGAAAAAATTGGGTCAGGTCAGTTTTCGGTTTCCAAAAAATGGGTTTTAAGTCAGTTCCTTTTCGGATCGGTTTTAAACAGTCGGGTTTAACGGTTTGGGTCAGAAACTGACAGCTCTACTAATGAACAGACTTTGCATTAAGAACTAGGTTTATGCGGCACCTAGTATTGGAAATTAGAAACAAACTTATGATATTAATGAACTTGTGAAATAACCATGGGAGCTCATTATAAGTTCAAATGATGCCTTCCAAGTCAAACAACAACCAACTACAAAGTAACTAACCAGTGGAATGTAACTTTCACCTTATAAGACACTTTGACTTTTGAAAGAGAGATGAATCAGCTCACAAACTTGTCTAAAATCTTATATTTCAGTGTTTGCAGGGGAAGCAAACAATTCTGACATCAGAGTGACCATGGAAAAAATTCAAAAAAAAAAAAAAAAAAAAAAAAAACAAGGGGGGGGGGGAATCTATGGTAGCCTAATAAATTGATTTGCTCAAGACATTTGCAAAACATACTCAGAACCATCATATGATGTGTCCTCAATTTTCTATCCTTAATTACACTGAAAAGAGCACTTCAATGCTGTATATTAAAACCAATAAAACCTATGAGCAGAGAGTCCAAGATAATGAAAAGAACAAGCAGAACTATGTACACTATTGTACCCTAACAAGCAAGGCATCAATTAAAACACCCCAACCTATATAGGCCATAAGAATTGAAACCACAGTCCCATGATGCCAGACTCCTTGAGCCAAGTGATTGGCATTAATAATACTTCAATGCTACAATAACCAGCAAGATGCAAATTCAAACATCTCTATAAACAGGCCTGATCAATACACAACAATTCCATGTCGAAAAAACAGAAACAAGATAACTATATTTGCAGAATCACAGACAAAATATGATAATATTCATTTAAGAAAGCTTCCTAAGCAAGTAAGGACATCAACATGATTATTAGCTATTACCTTGGCGCAGGCATTAACTGAAGCCTTTCCTCTGAAACGTGATTCCCTTCTTCCAAATGCTGCTCATCCATCAGCAGTGCCTGCAAATCACTACCATTTGCCAAGCTGTTGAATTCAATTGATTTAGATGGCACAGTTGGATATTTGCGTTGACAAAAAGTCACCAGCCGTTTGACAGACTGCAGATATTTACGGGTGGTTTCATCATTCATGATATGGGCAACACTATTGGTATAAATCTTTTCCCGAGCAGAACGTTCGTGGATACCAACCATAGTAACACCGATGGGCCATGGTGCATTTCCAATGGCCAGCTTAATATAACAATCCACAGCAGTTCGATAGTCTCTCTGCATACAGCAATCCACGACAAACATTAACGATTTCTTGATGTCATCTGGAAGAGCCCTCTTCCTGCAGAATTTAAACAATGGAGTCAAGTATCGACCACACTGCTTAAAAGTGGCAACCGTTTGCTTTCCTTTTGCAGTCCGCCTTGACAAATCCTGCATTTCATTTAATTCTTGTCTCCATTCATTCAACAGCTTTTTGAAGAATACCAAAATCTTATCCTCCTCGCACAAATCCTCAAATTTTGCCTTCATGAGTTTTATGTCCTTATCAGCATCTACTCCAGAAGAGGCCCCCTCCCCACTCAAGTCCTCGTCACCTTTGCCTGTCTCTCCATCCTCCAAATCTTCACTTTTCCTCTTTCGGTCACTCATAATCCCAGTCTTCTGCCACTTCTTCAATTCAACAATATCTCGCAAGAAATCATTAGTCTGGCCTTCTGTCACATCACTGTCAACCTCAAAGGTTCCCGTCTTCAGGACATTCTTGTACCTGTCTAGACGGGCATCATCATCTTCTCCAAAAAGTGTAATGGGCTGTTTAAGGAGCCGAAGACGCCGAATCACTTCTTGTTTTGAGAGCTTAAGTTCATCAATATTATTCTGCTCATCAGTTGTTAAGGTTGCACTTTTAGAAGAGGAGTCAGTATTTGGTTTGGTAGAGTATATTAGATCAAGAAGTGAGGCTGTGGAAGCAGCAGAAGAGGATGAAGATTGCTGCTGACGAGCAGATTTTTCCTCGAGTTCACGTTTCTCCTCCTCACGAACCTTCTGAAGACGCTTTTGCTCAATCTCAGACCGCTTGAAGAATCGTTTCCCGCCCGATTCTGGCCTGTCTGCAGAGAGAGCTTGTCTCTTTTTCATAATCTCTTGTTTTATAAGGTCCATTTTTAGATTCAGTTACTTTCCCTCTCTTATCTCTCTTACACACAACCTACATACCCAAGAAAACAACATCAATATCATTACTATTACCTAAAACCCCGAATACCCGCAACGAAAAATTAAGGCAAATCAGAATCACATATATTAAGAAAAATCGGATACAAACTCCGTCACAACAAAGCTTGAATGACTTGATTCATATTAGTTCCAACGAAATCATAACAATTTAAAGCATAAAATACACCTAAATTGGCTAATTACATCAAAAAAAACACTATCTTGTATAACTCAGGACCCCTTTTGATCAGTGAACCATAAAAAAAGGGGAATTTTCTGCCAATTTAATCTACCCATCGAAAATTCAATCAACATGAGTAAAACAAAGGTCTAGCCCATCCCTAAGCCAATAACACATCTCATACTCGAATTCGCTCGTTAAAATCTTCAGTAATTATAACCTAAAGTTCAATAATTCACCTTAAAGGAACCCTAAATTGAGTATACTGATAATTAAATTAACGATAATATGAAACTAAACCCTAGATTGTGAAATTAATATTCGATAATTAAAAAGAGGGAGAAATTATCTTACCTCAGAAGTTTCTTCAATGGAGAAGAGAAAAACTCAGATGCCGCTTCAAAGCAGAACTCAAAGTACGCTACACTGGGGTTAGAGAGAGATGCAGCGTAGAAGCGAGGCTCCAAAAAATGAAACAATAGAAATCTGTTAGATTTTTATCTTGTTTAATTAGTTAAAGTTTTTGGGTCGTTTTGGTTCCCAAGGATCAAATTTAAGGTCAATAGCTTAAAAAAAAAACTTTACCTAATTGATCAATAATTCGGTTTGAAAATAACATGTAAGCCGAGACGTTTCATATCATTCAAAATAAGATGGTACCGTAAGTTATTTGGGTAATAAGATTCTTATTAAAGGTTAATTGACCCCCTAAAACCTTAATTGATCAAGAGTTTGGTAGTTAAAGGCAACAAGTGACATGAATTTGGTACAAGTATATACTAAGGCTATCACGAAAATTCTTTAACTATTGATTTTTTTTAGTGACATTTAACTATCAACTTTGAATCACGGATTATTTTCAACGATCAATTCATGTTTTTAAATGTCTTAAATAACCATGTTCATATCAATATCAAATTCATTTCAATGAATGTAATTCTACACATATAATATATGATTAATTGCTTATATAAATTGTGTAAAAGTCAAAACCGATCCAAAATAGAGAAGCATTAACACGCACCAACTCTTAACAACCGGCTATCCGCTATTTACAAAACCGGGCCATAAGTTGATTACACTCACTCATGAACTAGACAAAGAAGGGTTTAACAGAAAACCCCCAACTTTACAAGATCGAAAAAACTCAAAGGTAGAAGAAGAAGCAACAAAAATGGGGTTTGGAACCCTAAGATCTCTCATTCGTCCTCTTTCAAGAGCACTTTCTTCTCATTCTTCAACTTCAATCACTCAATCACCATTATCTTCTCAAATTCTCCCCAAATTTCTCTCTCCAAAAATTCAACCAGTTTTTGGGCACTCCATTTTTCGCTCAATTCATCTGGATTCTCTCCCTTCTCTCGCATCCAAACCTTTCGACCATTTAACCAATCCACGCTTTCCCAAGCGCCGCCCAAGTCTTAGTTCCCGCCGCAAGCGCTCTAGCCTCCGCCCCTCTGGTGGGTTTCCTTTATTTTCTCTCGAATTTTGGGAAAATGTGTTGAATTTGATTAGGGTTTTTTTATTTTTGAGATGGATTTAGTTTCTTCTTGAATGTTGTATTGTAAGGTAATTTGATTGAAATGAGGTGGTATTTTAGATGGGGTTGTTTGATTAGTGGAGTTATTTGATGAATGATGCATTGTTAGTTAAGTAATTTGAATTAAAGTATGTAAATGTTGAATCTTTTTTGCTGATTAAATATTACTTTTGTTAGTTTGTGCTGAGATTTTGGAATGGGGATTGATTGAAATGTAATGTAGGGCCATATGCTTGGGTTAAGCATGTACCTGGGGAGGCTATTCCACCAAGTCAACCCAATGAAGGGAGTGTCAAGTTGAGGAATGAGAAGAAACGCCGAAGGCAACGTCGTGAATTTATCAAGGTATGGTGATTTAGCGGTCTTTTGCTTGTTTGCATTTTCTTTATACTGTTAAGAGGGTTGTTAATATGAGAAATCGTTTGTCATTGATTGAGAAGTAATGATATAGAGTGAGTGAGGCTGAAGGATCCTCCCAGATGAAAATATTAAGTGCGAGTGTATGCCATTTATGCTGGACTAGTTGGCAGTCATTTGACATCCTTGAAAAGGTTCCACACTCGAACCATAGTGGAGCTTGGAATACCAACTCGTCGCATTATGAGAACAATTTTGGAACTTTGTTTAGTCATTATAACTTCTTCTGGCATAGAGCTACACTAAATTTGTAAGTCAAACTCTTGGATTATGAACACATTATTCTTGAGGAGTTGAAATTCCAACAAAACTGACTTGTAATAGAGCCTTTTTAATTAGCTGGAAACTTGGAATATAGTGACTAGTTCATTGCTGAATTGGATTAGACATTGGACTTGAGTTATCTGATACGATATATAGGTCACGAAGTTCCATTTGGATTTTGGATCACAGTCATTTGGTGTTTTGAATGCATTTACCTGTGCTGATGAACGAGTGAACTAGAATGCTGACTTAAGATTTTGCTGGTTATGGTTTTTAATAATGCTTGCTATTTATTTACTTCCAACCTCCTGGTTAAGATCTGCATGACTGCATGGTCTGCATCATAGTTGTTTCTAGTTATTGTCACCACGGGGAGTTTAGAAACCTTTTCAAAGTCTTTCTCTGTCATCATGTGGTATATTTTTGGAGCAGTTTCTAGAGTTAAGTTTATACTTTGTGTTTGTTGGTGGTCAAGTAATGGATTTCCTGTGATAGTGGTGGTGAGTTAGGAAAAGTCTAGGCACTCAATTGAATGAGTACATTGGTAAGGTATGCTTTTAGTTGATGGCAGTTTTGAGACTGTTTTAGGACCAAAGCAGATGTGCCCACTCTAACAGAGAGCATATCACCTGATATTCATGATGCTTGTCTGTTTGATTAGATTATTGCTTTGAAATTTTGATCAAGGACCATACCTTATGGGAAAGATGGAATTACTGTACTAACTGTGTAAGCAAGTGATAGGTTGATAATGGGTGATTAGGAATTAATTTGCTTGCTTACCTGAGAGGCATTTGTTTATTATATTTCTCTCTTTTTTGGAAAGGCAGTTGCAAGTGGGTGTGAAGATGAAGTAAGATGGATTGTGCCTGCAATAAGGAGTCTCTTTGTTTTTATCCTTTGATCTTAATTTTCTGGATGTTCTAAATTCTAATAAGCACACTTAAGAGTCTCTTCATGTAGGGTGCCTCTTTGAGGAATCTTGCCCGCTAGTAATTGCAGTATATTTCAAAGAGTGGTTCATAAACATGGAGTAGCAATGGTTGTATTCTTGTGAATGTGGGTTGTTATGTAGACTTCAATTCATGTATTTTAGATAAGTAGATCAGATGAGACCTAAGAATAAGTACCCTTGACAAATGGTAAAGGTTGTTCATATGAGGACCTTCTCATGTAATATCATGGTGAGGTCCTTAAAAGCTCAAAGGCAGGTAGAAATTCCTGTTAAAAATTTTGGAAATCAGCCATGGGCATATGAAGATATGATCACCCTAGATTTATCATCCTTGATAAAAGCTATACTTGATGCTCTGAATACCCTTTTCCAACATTGGCAAAGAAATCCCCAACCCCCCAAAAGGAAAAAGAAAAAAACTTAAAAAAGTGAACATTGGATAGAAGTCTCTTATTTCCCAAGTGGTCAACTGGTAACATAGGGCTATCATGTCCTTAAGCCATAAATGCAATATCTTTTTCAAAGTAGCAGGAAAATCTTGTCTAAAGTAGCTGCAAAACCCTATAAGCATTGAGACCACAAAGAAATTGCTTCCATGGGAATGCTATTTTAGGTGTTATACACCAGTGGAAAGTATTTGGAACACTTTGGGTTTTTTCATCAGCTCTTAAGAGACGAGTAACATAACATGGGAAGGACAGAAACTGTAAATAGGCTGTCCTCTGTATGTTATGGCATACATGTCTTTCACGACTTCCCCTCACTCTTGCTTGGCCCTGTCAGTTGTTCTTTAGGGTATAGATGTTATTGTCGTATGATTGAGGGCTAAGGCATATTTTTACTTTGGTTTACTGCTGTTTATTATTTGATTTTTGTATTTTAGACTTTTAGTCATCTTTACTGCTAGCCTAAAGCTCGTGTGAGAATTCAGTACTCAGTGACAATATGCTAATGTATAACATCTGTAGCCAAATTTAAAGTTCATGACTTATTGGGATTAAAAAAATTAGTGTTAAACATTGGTCGGCAATTTTTTTTTTTTTTCTTTTTTTTGCTTGTATATGTGCTATGGGGAATCTCTACCCTTAGGTTTGTTGCTGTTTTCTGTTATATAATATTCAGAGCCAATAGCTATGTGCTTCATATTTTGCAGTCTGAAAGAAAGAAGAGAAAGGCTGAAGTGCAGGAGGCAAATCGCAAGAAAAGGGAGAAAAGGATTGAACGTAAGATGGAAGCAGTTGCTAGAGATAGAGATTGGTCTCAGAGACTTGCAGAGTTGCAACGACTTGAAGCGGAGAAAAATAAAACAACAGCCTGAAAACCTGCCTAAGACCTATTCTCTTACATTTGCTCATGAACTGCTGTTAGGGCTGAGAGTCATATATTGAACATTTGGTGCATTTAGTGTTACTTATGTGCAACCGCCGTGGGCTACCCTCCGTTCCATCTTGTTGCATCACCAATTGGAATTGACATGTTTGCCTTTCAGTAGTGGACCAGACTTGCTATATTTTGTTTCTTCTTGCAGTTTGTTTACTACGTCTACATGTAATACTTTTGTCTTTGAAATAATCCTTGACGAATTGCTGAATTCTATGGATAACTTGTGCATGCTACTTGGAAAAAAGAAATTATTTGTTATACACCAGCATTTTCAGTGCACAACGTTGCATGTTAGAATATATCATCTTTACCGAAAATTCCTATTCCAAGACTATTGTGTTCAGGAAAATAGTACTACATATTATATTTTGTACGTTTTTTTCTTAAATTGGGATAGTAAATATCAGAAATTACCACTGAGCTATACTCTTCTATGTGTTATTATAAGAAACATTCAATACTTAAGCTAATTTTAAAGGGGGCCAACAGTTAAAGATACAAGAGTTGGCGTTTGGGCCACGGGGGCCGGGCCTCCACCAGCCCCCCCCGGCTCCGCCCCTGATTGTGTTCATATTAGAATATATTGTCTGCTGTGGTAGTCCAATTCTTACCTAGTGGCAGGTTGAATCCTTTGTTGACAACTTACGTATGGGAAACACAACAACCTCTCTCGTTTCTTGGTTTGAAAAAGTCCAAATTTGCCAAAATTAAAGGCTATAATTCAAGATTTTGGACCAATTTTAGAGGTTTCAAAACCCAATGTCAAAAACATTCGAGATGGTAGTAAACGTAATGCATCTCAGCATCATATAATGTTGTTTAAAGCCGTATATGACCACTAATCGATGTCGATCACACAAAGGCGTATGGTGGCCTTAAGTTGACTAAGGAAGACATGTACGTAAATGGCTAAATTGACGTTTTAAAGGCGAAGTAGATGGTTGCAACCACTCAATTGGCCTCTCGGGGGTGTCTTGTGGTTGATGGAAAGCACCCTAACCTCTTTTTTTCCGATTGATCGGTCAAAAAGTTAAAAATGTCCAAACTGAAGGTGGTCATACACAAAATATAACCATCCAATTCTGGAAGTTTTGGAAACATGTGTCGAAAATTCTCGAGACTGTATAGGATGCATCCGAGGGTAAAATCATGTTGTTTGAACCAATATATGACCACCAGTCGGTCATATAAAGCCTTGTGGTGATATGAAGTTAATGTAAGAAGGTGTAATTTGTATACGATTAAATTGACAATAAAAGGCAAAGAGGACATTTTCAACCACCCATATGGAATCCTGGGGTGCCATAGGACCTTTGGGAAGCACCCCGAACTCTTTTCCTACTGGGTCCGAAAAAGTCAAAATTTATTTAAAATTGAAGAATATAATCCACACTTATTGGCCAATTTTGGAAAAAAAAAAAATCAAAATTGAAGTAAATGTATGGGGTGTCCCTCAAATGTATATAAATTGATTTGGAACCATGAAATGCCTACAAACAGGTCTATAAAGCCCTCAGATTGAGTTAGGTTTAACTATGTGGCTATTTCAGAATTAAGTTGCATTGGTAGTGAAGAGTGCAAGAGACGGTGCAATAATCACTAATTTGGCATACTGAGGTCGAATCATGAAACAGTAATTTATAATCAAACTTTATACAAAACACCCCCTAGATTATATTACGCAATCCAACTACATTTTTTTTAGACTACAATCATCGTCTAATCAAAAAACAAAAAAGAATTTTTGGGCAGATTTGGAGGTTTTGGGGCTCGATGTCAAAAAATCTTATGATACTAGGCTATACATTCCGGGGTCATATAATGTAGTTTGGAACCATATATGATCATCATATGTTGTCATAAATATCTGTGGTAGGCTTGATTTTATGAAATTGGTGCAAGTTGTAAACAATATATTGGATGCTTAAAGGCAAATTGGATGATTTCACCCACCCAATTGGACTCTCGGTGGGTATTAGGATCCATGGTTATCATCTCGGCAATTTTGATTTCCGGGCAAGAAAAGTCAAAAGTTTCCAAAATTAAAGGCTAATATTCATGCTTTTTGGGCGATTTTGGAGGTTTTGGGATTTGGTGTAAAAAAAGTCTTAAGATACTAGGCTATACATCCCGAGGTCATATAATGTCTTTTGGAACCATATATGATCATTTTATATTAACATAAATGTCCGTGGTAGGCTTGAGTTTATGAAATTGATGCAAGATGTAAACGGCTAAATTGGATGCTTAAAGAAAAATTGGATGGTTTCACCCACCTAATTGGACTCCCAGAGGATATTAGGATCAATGGTTATCATCTCGGCAATTTTTATTTCCGAGCCAAAAAAAGTCAAATTTTTCCAAAATTAAAGGCTATATTCATGCTTTTTGGGCAGTTTTAGAGGTTTCGGGAAGCGGTGTTGAAAAGTTTTGAGATGCTATGGGATATATTCCGGGGTCATATAATGTCATTTAAAACCATATATAATCATAATATATTGTCATAAATGTCCGTGGTATAAACGCACTCCGTCATTTGCCATAAAATACAATATCGTCACACCAGTAACAGTTTACAACTGCCGGTATAAATGCACATACACCTTTGTCAAAATTAATTGACTACTTAATTTAATTCATGCATGTATTACAATCACAAATAAAACAAAACAAGGTCATTCAACCTTGAAAGTACTACGAAATACGGAGTATAATATTATAATACAGCCAATAAACACATCACTTAAAGGAACATTAATCACCATACATGATTAACCGTCATACATGAAACGACATCAATTAGGCCATACAAAGTACAAGCTTTCATTGAAAACCTAGGTAACAAGATAAAATAATGTAACAAGCTATCAACTGAAGTATAGGGAATTAATTTACCATCTTTGATATTGAGAATTCTTCATTTTCATTGGTGTTGGTTATTATTTTCAAAATCATTATTTTTTTTTTTTTTTTTTTTTTTTTTTTTTTTTTGAGGGAATTCAAAATCATTACTTAATGTATCATCAATACTCAAAAATAAAATAGATTGTTTATATTATTATACAACACAGTGTACTATCATACTTTGATACTGTTTTGGTGTTGTGCTTATTACTGATTTAGTGCTACTAATCATTATTGATTTTGTTTTGATTGTTTACAATTGTTCATTCACAATGGAATGAATTGATTGAAAGTCTGTTTGTTTGTTTGTTTTTTTTTTTTTTTCCAAGATGGAAAAGTATCCATATTTAATAATGCAATGAAATGGAATGAACCTTTAACAAGAATAGAATAGTCATAATTCACAAATAAATTCCAAGAATAGAATACTCTGGTTTTCATACATTTGCAAAATCTTGGCACGATTTTGAATCCACCACATGAAAAATACGAAAACAAAGATAGGTTTCTCTACAAGGGTAGGCTATTTCTTTTGTTATTACCTCCGTTACATATTATTTGCAACGATTTGACATAAAGTAGAGAGGGATAATGTCCAATCGTTGCAAATAATATGTAACGGAGGTAATAACAAAAGAAATAGCCTACACAAACATCAGTCACAAAAGAAATAGCCTACACAAACATCAGTCATAAGCTCATAAGAGTCATAACTGTGTTTTACAAGCGCATCTCCACGAGTCCAACGATGGAGAGTTTCATCTATGTTTTCAGAGCAAATATGTGTAATGACAAGGTAAAGACATATGCCAATAGTCAGTATCTGAAATTCTGAATTCAGTGTGTCCAAATCATTGTTTGGTGCATCAAACCTGTAAAAAGAGTTGTTCTTACCAGTATGTCCCTTCTCTCATATGGAGTAACTGCATTCAAAACAATCTGATATTTTATCGTGTATACAGCGCAATGAAATGAATGGAGCCAAAGATAATGTCAAAATGGTAGCTGCTTAAAACGAAAATTTGTCGCAAGTTTCTCAAAATACTTAATCTCCAGCTGAACAACTTGAATACTTGATAGAACTGGCATCTTATGCTAACAATCACACTTTGTCTATAAATAAGTTACAACTATATCTTACAAACCACGCACTCAACTGTAAAGAATGTTATATTGGAGAAGAATATGTAAAAGTACCAAATTACTATCTATTGAAGAGGGAGATCAATGGTAGCGTAATATCTCCACTATAAACCCCCCCTTATTGTAGGAGAACATGATCTCTCCAGTATCGAGAGAGGATCTATGTACATAATAGGAATCCTTTCTCCCATTAAGAATATTAAAATCACAAAGCTTATAAAGACAAACCTTAGTTATACAGCAATACAATTGATTAATACAAAAGAAATGAATGGAATTGCAGTGGAAATGAAGCTCAAATCAGCTCCAAAACTCCCGGGATTTTACTGAACATGTATGACCGTCCTCAACATTGTGATTGTAATCAAGTGTCCACTTTTCGAATGTGCCATCCACAAAATTATAGTAACCTCCGTGAAGAGAAAGTGTACCTTTCGCAACTCTTTCTTTGATCCAAGGGTATGTAAGCAAATTCATTAGTGAGTGGTTGATAGATTCCTGTCAAAGAACAAATCAGGAAAGTTGGCAAAGAAATTCAGGTTGAAAATTATAAACCTTCATTCTTATCCAAATCAAAGTTTGTCAATGTGGTGCACCTTCTCACAATGTCGACACTGTTGGTCAAGGTGTAGGTTGGAAGCCACGGATTTGGTGCTAACCCTTGCATTCTTGCCAAATATAACCCAACTTTTAATGAAGCTCCTAGTAAGCAATAAAGAATAGAATCAAAAAATTAGTACACTTCTAAATACTATAAGTTAAAAGACAATTGTTTTCTTCATTTTAATTTGTTTTTTAGGTTTGCATGGAAAATAATATTTAGATAGACCTGGAACCTTGAATCTTCTTCTTCTACATCCTCCATACTCATGAGGGCACGGATCCCACCACAGCGGCTATGGCCAACAACCAGAATATTTTCAACCTGGAAAAATGAGAAAACAATTAACAGATTTCCACGCAGAAGACCCTTAGGACAGAATTGACAGATGTAAAGGAGTTTTCATTAAGTTATCCGACAATGGAGCTGTTTCAAGGACTTGTGGAAATTAGATTGTGGTTTTGTTCCGGAACTGTTCAGAGGACTTAGTTATTTTCACACAACTTGCTCCCAGTCAAGAATTTCACATCTTTTGTATTTCACATTTTTATTTCTTTTTCTCTTTTTTTTTTTTAACTTGCTCCCAGTCAAGAATTTCACATCTTTCGTATTTCTACATTCTATGTATTAAGGA